CCCAAAACTTGCTAGTTTCACTTTGATTTTTTAAAACTCAAGTAGGGTAACTCTGTTCGCAAAGAGTGCGCTTTTGTGAAGAGGGCGCCACCAAATTTTGAGGACACTTTTTTAATTGGCTCAAAGAGAGAAGTGGCGCATCTTGTCTTGTACTATCTTTGCTTAAAATCAAAGCTTGCGACTGCTTATGGAGTGGCCCGAGAGGGGTGAGGATGCTATTTCTGTGGCCGTGAAACCGTTTTGAATGTTAGGCATACTGTTCGTTGTTGGTTACGAACGTCTTTTTACATTTAATTTATGAAGTTTACGTTTAAGGATGAATTTGACAGCGACAATGTTTCAAAATTGGAAAGGGAAGCAGTGATTATTTGATTATATAGACGCTTCGCCCCTGTGCTTTGCAGCAATTACGTTGGTGTTGTTGTGTTTGCGTCTCTTGGAAGCGTGTTTCTCTGTTGTCTGTCTTGTTGATGGAACACGTATACTGTTTCTTATTTCATCGACAGCTACTTTTAACGTGTCTAGAACTTGTTAGGTTGCTATGGGCGTTGTACTTCTGTGTTAGAGGATCCCATAAACAGCGTCAACGTGCGTGTACACTTTGTTGAAAAACAGCAAAAAGAAGAGAAAATGTTTCGCTCTTTAATACATTCGGGATACCATCGTTAAATTCCACCTTGTTTCAGGCGGCCATGGAATATTCCGGAGACAAATGCAGATGCATTTTGTAGAGTGGGCAAAAATGTCGAAGAGCCTGCATAGCGTTAGCGAAAAATACCTCTGTTCCCCGACAAATCACCCTTTTCATGACCGCGAAGGGCGAGTTCGTGAGTTTCACAGGTCAAAAAATACACTCGATAACCTTACACAATACGTGCCTGTTCTTTCTCACCAGTTCGTTATTGTGAGACGTTGCAATGCGATGACCTACAACTAGCTGCTATGTCTACTTGTCCGAAAGTATGATACTTAGCGGCATTTTTTACCTGCGCTCTTGACTTTTAACTTTAATACGTTTTTTCACATGGACAAGATCAGTAAGACCTGTCTTAGACTACTTAGGGTCCTCAGTTCCAAAAAAGCAGACAGGAGAAACAGTAGGCCTAATGTAGGTCTACAATGAGTATAATTTGCTAACGCTGACTGTAAGCCACTCCATTTTTTATTCATTGTATTATTTTGATACATGTATTTTTGGGTTGATGAGGACTTAATTCATTCACTCTCTTCTTGTTAATTTGTTTGGTGAACTGAATTTATTTGCAATCAACTTCATTCTTCCTGCATTGGAATACACACTCGAGTAATAAAACTTTCACCACTACACCATTCTGACTTCTAACACAATGACCTAATTACGTCATGTTGACCTCGCTCAAGTTCAGGGCTACAGAGGAGGAGCTAGAGATATAAATAGCAAGACAATGGACCAATCGCACATCGCCGGGAGCACTCCAGTGGATTGCTCCAAAGCTATCGTAATACAGGCATTGAATTGTGTAGGCATCGTGAACTGGTCTGAGATGGCGTTATTTTTAGACTGCCTCTATGGGCTTTGTTCGGCTGGTGCACATTGAGATTGTGCCGCCTTATTAATTTTTATGAATTAAGAAACTCGGTCAAAACGTCATCGTTGTTTGGGTCGTCCCATAGAGCATTTTCCGAGATAGATTACACAACTGAGCATACTTTTTTTGACTTGGGTGAAGCACAGAACCTGATATGGTATAGAAGATGTTGTAGAGTTGTTGTAGATGTTGTAATGAACGAATAGGCTCTGGCGAGGAAATTGTATGGGAAACTGATTAGATGGTTGATGGTAAAGGTTCTTTTGTTGTCACTTTGTGGGTGTTGTGCGCTAAAATTTTTGGGCGGCAGTGCACGACCGTGCTCTATGGACGAGCCGCCCCTGCTTTAACCATATTCCGTTTATGCGTCTTTTATTTCAAATAAGACATCTTTTTAAAGGCTTACCTGATCTTCCTTTGAGCTGTCAAATAGCACATTTGCCCCATCAAATGTCCAAAGCGAATGATTGAAGTGAAATCCTGTCCCGTAATGCGCTATTTCATCTGCCTTTGACATAAAGGAAGCAACGTAACCTTTTCTCTTGGAGAATGTTTTCACGTGACTTTTGAACTGTGCTGTGCCATCAGCGGCCTGTGAAGTCAATGGAATAAGAAATGTAGCTTCAGGCTGCATGCTGGGTTTCTGTCGGCACATTCATCTACGTTTTCGGCTATGAATCAAGAATTAGAAACTTAATAATAGTAATATAAATTGAGAGGAAACTCGATGTTTATTATATATTCAAACTATTAAATCCGAGGACTTCAATCTCTTGATTTGCATTTCTATTACATTTTCTTAAAAACAGTAGTCATGGTGTCTGCTCTCTTCGCTTTTGACGTACACAGTACTTGCCTACTTACGTTCCTGTGAAAGCGTCGGCTAACGAATGCTTTATAAGGCGTCTGATTAAAAAACAAAGGAAAACAAACATAAAAGACAAAAGTGATATCTCCGGAAATATTATTTTTCTTGATTTAAGTTCTGCTTATGTTTTAGCGATCCCCGAAAAGTGCTTCTACTTCTAAGTGATTTTTAAGTGATGGAACGAACAGAAAGTTATATAATATCTGTAGCTTTTACCTCTATGCCTTCGGCCACATTAAGCGTGACTTCGAAAAATTCGTTGTTAGACTCAGGCTGCAGGGTTTCTGTCAGCACATTCATCTGCTTGAGTTCATTTAGAAGTTCCAAAAAGAAATCCTAAGATAAATAGAAAAATGTGTATATTATCACATTTTATGGTTAATAGTTGTTCAAGTCATTGTCACTGCAGTTTTATGGTTGCCCACCTTCAAACTCGTGCGTTATCTTCCAGCGAATAATACATGTATAATGAAAGGCATCATTTTTTTTAAAATGCAGTTCTATTAGGATTTACCCAAAATTCAGTCAACTGTAGTAGTTACTTAGAGAACAGTATTCAAAGGTGATACGAGACTGAAATACAATTTAGACAATAACAGTTGAGTGAACTGAACATACTGGCATAATGATTTTTAAAACTTTGTTTGTATTTTGAAACCATGTCTGTATAATACGTTTCTTCTTTTCTGAAATTGGTCCTACATTCACAAATGGCAATTTTCTTTATAATTATAATACTAATAAAAGTTTTGAACAATTCACGCATTACGATATGAGAATATTATTATTTCTTTAAAAAGAATAAAGATTCTGGCCCAGTGACCATTCGACTGACCAGCTTCGGTTCAAGGTTATCCATGCAGGACCAGTGCCAGGATTCGGTAGGGTCTGGTTGTCGTTTTGGGTCATGCAGAATAAATTCTATTTCAAATGAAGATTTCAGAACAAATCCAAGCTGCCTTAGTTCTTCCAACTGTAACACAGCTGCTGTTCGGGGAGAACTGCTATCCTTTAAGTCAGAAAGAGTGACTTCATTAGAACATATCTAAAATTCGTACAGAAGAAGAAGAAGAGGAAGAAGAAGAAGAAGAAGAAGAAGAAGAAGAAGAAGAAGAAGAAGAAGAAGAAGAAGAAGAAGAAGAAGAAGAAGAAGAAGAAGAAGAAGAAGAAGAAGAAGAAGAAGAAGAAGAAGAAGAAGAAGAAGAAGAGGAGGACGAGGAGGAGAAGAGGAGGACGAGGAGGAGGAGGAGGAGGACGAGGAGGAGGAGGAGGAGTAGGAGGACAACGACGACGGAGTGCTGCACCATCGAAATATAAGAAAAAAGAAATATTAGAGAGTGTCTGTGATATATATATATATATATATATATATATATATATATATATATATATATATATATATGAGTGTGTGTTTGTGTGTGTGTATGTGTGTGTGTACACCCACTTTGACCACCGTTTAGAAGCTAACTTTGTGTAGAGCCCACCTACACATAATTCCAAACGGGACATTCAATAGTATACTGTCGCTACCTGTATTATTATCCTAACCACCCACCACATTTACCAGATCGCCCACGAATAAGTAATATTATTCATTTAGGCAAAAACAGGACTAGATGCTACTTACGAGTGTTCCGTTGAAGAATTCAAGGTCACATAACACACGTCCAACGGTCTGTGGCTTTCCGGATGGGCGAGGACAGGCGATAAGTGTGGACATGTCGGGCATGAGGAACTCGTTACAAATGTTCGTCAGATGAGAATGATAAAAATACTTTCCGTCTATTCTGGGATAACAGAGGCCTGGAACAATTTTTTAAATTTAAACAGTATTTCCTTTTTATAGCTATATTATGTTTAAAGTCTGTCAACCCCCCCCGCCCCCCCAACACACACACACACACACACACACACACACACACACACACACACACACACACACACACACACACACACACACAAACACACACAAACACACACACACACACATACACATTTGCAAACTCACAAGCAAACGCACACACACAAAACACACTCGTACTATAGACTTCAACAAAAGTTAAGGACCACTTGCACACACTCTTGCAGCACAAACAGGTGAATAGTAAAACATTTGAAATTTCAAAGATACTTAAATGCAAGTTAATGGGATAATTTCTTAACAAAAATCAAGTCAATTTCAGAATGAAGACGTCACAAACTTAGGCAATATATCGCTCAGAACAACAGTACCCCTCAAAAGAAAAATCCAGGAATAAGTGTTCATGACAGTCCGTTCAAAAACGGGTATACCCACCACGCGGGCAATGCAGCGAAGGCAGCGTCGCCACATGGTGTTAATGAGGGTGGCAATGAAGGTCTGGGGAAGGTTTGCCCACTCTTGCAGGATCTGTAGCAGCTCATGTCGGGTCGGTTAGCTGGTCGTGGCTGGTGCTGCTGGACTTTCTGGCCAAGTTCACCCTATGCATTCTTAATGGGGTTGAAGTCGAAACTGTTTGCTGGCCATGGCATTCTTGTTTTCCCTGCTTGCCTGATATGGACGCCGCCACACACGCACACGTCCATCTTTTGGGTTGACCATGAATCATGACTCGTCTGTGAACAAAACATGGCCCTATTGGGCTCTAGTCCATGATTCATGGGCCCTGCACCAAGCAAGACGACTTGCCTGGTGTCCTGCGGTCAGCTTAGATTTCTTGTTTGGACACCTGGTACGGATGTTGGCAGCATGCAGAGGACGCCGAATGGTCTGGGAGCTCACCGCCGTGTTGGTAGCAGCACGCAGACGATGCCTCATAATGTTGGCTGTCATTGTCCTCTGTCGGAGACCCTGCATGCGGGCATATAATAATAATAATAGATAGCATTTGTATAGCGCATATCCCCGCTCAACAGCAGGCTCTATGCGCTTTACACTATATTATTACCCCAGCAGACCATAGAACACTCCGAAACATGCTCAGCTTCCCGGGAAGCATACAGTGCAAGCGGCTGATTAAGCGCTCAAACACTAACAAACTGACAAGATCTTTCGCTGTCTATAGCTGGGTACCCATTCCCACCTGGGTGAAGTGAGGAAAATTCATGTAAAGTGCCTTTCCCAAGGACACAACGTCGGGCCCTTGACGGGATTCGAACCCACGACCTTACGGTTGCGGGTCCGAGAGCCTAACCACTAGGCCACCGACGCCACATATCGATCCTCTCTCTGAGTGGTCTTCTTGGGTCGACCTGCACATGGGCGTTCTTGGGTTGGTCCAGTGGCTTGATTGCGCTGCCTCAGGCGGACAATGACAGAGTGTGACACTTCAAGCCTTCGGGCAACTTCTCGGGCTCCAACTCAATCATGCAGCCATGCCATAGCTCTGGCACTATCAAATTCTCTCAGCTTTCGTCTTGGTGGCATGTTGATGCGATACTGGATTTTGCGCAAACGGCAGCTTATATTGCCACCAAAGTGAGCACAAATCGAGACCATACGTCTGTTTATCACGTGAACCAGAAATTTTTTACGAGGAATGTCCATGGTTTCGCACACAAGTCGATAAAACCCCCCAGCAAATTTGGCTAAAATTCCCAGAGGATTTCCGTACTGCACTTGATCGTGTTGCCCCTTTAGGGAGCGTTGCAGTACGCATAGTTAACCCATTAACACTTTCATGGGAAACAATTTTAAAACATTCCTTGCTGTCCTTTTTTTCGGATTAAAAAAAAATTAGGTCTGTCTGTAAAAGTGGTCCTTAACTTATGTTGAAGTCTGTATGTCTTTTTTAGAAAATATAATGTACTCTGAAATACAATAACACTTTAAAAAGTTTCTGGTGTCAAGGCAGTTGCCATAATTTGGTTTACCTGGATAAGTTGCAATCCCTTCGTTCAGGCTATCTGTCACTTTTTTTCTTGAAAACATACGTCCCAATGGTCGGCAGTGAATGTCATAAACAACCAGTTGAATGTACTCAAAGTCCACGACGCCTCTATGGGCTTTGTTCTCCATGCTTTCAACGGATCCGCCGAAAGTCTGGGACATAAAAAAAAATGACTTGAGGAGAGATTTCAGAGTAAAAGTTGCTATTTTCAGAAAATCTGCCAACTGCTTAAGTTGGGAGCGTTCGGCTCAAATACATGAACAAAAAAGGAAGAGCTTGTTATAAAATCTTCAATTTATGCGACGTTACACCGCAATGCTGTTCCACTCCGGACATCCACGATGTTAAGTTCTATACTTGTTGGCCTTTAACAGCATTGGTTCTTACCGCAACTGTAACATTTATTGAAACAACAATCAAAAGATTCCATGGTAACGAAGGTGTATTTTATGATGGTACGATTTTTATCGATGAAAAGTAAAAGATGACTGCCATCATTGTTTGGTCATCACAGATATACATTTAAAATAAATTATAACAAATAAGAGAGCTGATTCATTTTTACAATCTTCACTGTCAAGTCACAGTCACATATGAACTTTTGTGCACACTTACCTATTTGAGGTTGCGCTGTAAAGGCGTGCTGCTATTGTTGATTTATGCACGAAGTGTCATCTTTGAATGTGAAAACACTTAAGTCCAGCTAACGCAAAGGTATTTTCCACCTCAGATGGAAGTCTATCCTTTCTCCTTTTCAGCAATTCAATGGAAGTAACATTGTAAAAGAGCTCTTTTATAATTTTACTGTACATCGCCTCTTGAGCTTTTTTCACGCTTCTCTTCAGGCATCGCGAGTGAAGCTTTCATTTCAGACACTGTCTGGACACAATGTGTTTCATGACAGCTTTAATTTGCTTACGTTTGTTTTTAATATCAACGGCTCTTATTTCAAAGTTCACATTTGTGGAATGTACCGTCTCATTCCCTTGCTCGCCAAGCACACCAGGTCAAAGTCCCAGGTGTTAATAAATGGCAAGCAATGGCGCTCAAGCATGTGCATCCCTCACTGTGTGTGGTACAAGTTTCTAAATAGTTCTAAATACGAAATACGATATTTAAACTGATGTAAGAGTGTTCTAACAAGTGTGCAATGTATGTTTGTGTGTGTTTGTGTGTGTTTGTGTGTGTGTGTGTGTGTGTGTGTGTGTGTGTTTGTGTGTGTGTATGTGTGTGCGTGTTTGTATGTGTTTGTGTGTGTGTGTGTATTGTGTATCGGTGTATGTGCCAGTATATGTATA